CAGATAGGCTTAAGACAATTCATAAAGCTAAATTTAAAGTGCAAATTTATAGAAGTAAGTATAAACCTTATTTGCAATTATTAAAGTATAGTAATCTTATTTATCCTAATTAATATTTTAGGTTAAAAATCAACACAAACATGGGGCGACTCGACAATTGCGATTTATAGAATAACTAAAAACCCAAAAGATAGTAATTATAAGGAGTATGTGAAGCAGGTAAGTCTCTGAAAATTGTTAGATAGTAAATATAATGAATTAGATTGGGTTTCTAAAATAGCCAACCTATATTTTATAGCTGATGAATTTTTAGAAGTACATACGAATTTAATTTATAATTATTAAAGTGTAGTAATCTTATTTATCCTAATTAATATTTAAATTGAAAATTATTACAAGAACCCGAAAGATGGTAATTGCATGAGTATGCGAAGCAGAGAAATTTCCGGAAACTGTTAAATAGTAAATAAGATGAATTAGATTGGGTCTCTAAAATAGCTAACCTATATTATATAGCTGATGGTAAAGTACAAATTTTTAGAAGCACATACGAATCTCTATTTATGATTATTAAAATGCAGTAATCTTATTTATTCTATTAATATTTTAGGTTAAAAATCAACACAAACATGAGGCAACTTGACAATTGCTATTTATGAAATAACTAAGAAACTGAAAGATAGCAATTATATAATGGCATGGAGTATGCGAAGCAGAGAATTCTCTGAAAATTGTTAGATATACAGATAAAAAAAAATAAAAAATCCAAAGTGTCAAATGGCACTATTCAAATGCCATTTGAATAGTGCAATTTGACACATCGAACTTTTTATTTTTTATCTGTAATAGTAAATATGATGGATTTGATTAGATTTTCAAGCTAATGAGTTTAAAATAATTCATAAGCTAAAATTTATAGTGTGAATTTTTAGAAATATGAACCTTAATTTGTGATTATTTAAGTGTAATAATCTTATTTATTTAATATTTTAAGTTGAAAATCAACACAAACATGTGGGCAGCTCAACAATTGTAATTTGTGAACCCAAATGGTAGTAATTATATGATGGTCATTGAGTATGTGAAGCAGAGAAGTATCTGAAAATTGTTAGATAGTAGATATGATGAATTAGATTTGGGTTCTAAAATAGCTAACTTATCTGCTATAGTAAAGTATGAATTTTTAGAAGTATATACAAATCTTAATTTATAATTATTAAAGTTAGTAATTTTATTAATATTTTAAATTGAAAATTAATACAAACATGTGGGCAACTTAGCAATTGTGATTTATGGAATAACTAAGAACCCAAAAGATGGTAATTACATGATGTTAACAGAGTATACAAAACAGAGAAGTCTCTAAAAATTGTTAGATAGTAAATATGATGTATTATATTGGGCCTTTAAAACAGCTAGCCTATATTATATAGCTGATATGCTTAAGATAATTCATAAGCTAAAATTTATAGTGCAAATTTTTAGAAGTACGAACTTTAATTTGCAATTATTAAAGTGTAGTAATTTTATTTAATATTTTAGATTAAAATCATCACAAACATGAGAGTGACTCGACAATTGCGATTTATGGAATAACTAAGAATACAAAAAGTAGTAATTACACGATGCTCATAGAGTATGTGAAGCAGAGAAGTTTCTGAAAATTGGTAGATAGTAAATATGATGAATTAGATTGGGCCTCTAAAATAGCTAACCTATATTATATAGCTAATAGTAAGATACAAATTTTTAGAAGTAAGTATGAATCTTTATTTATAATTATTAAAGTGCAGTAATCTTATTATTCTATTAATATTTTAGGTTGAAAATTAACACAAACATGAAGAAAACTCGACAATTGTGATTTATGGAATAACTAAGAACCAGAAAGAATGCAATTACAAGATGGTCATGGAGTATGTGAAGCAGAGAAGTCTCTAAAAATTGTTAGGTACATAGGTAAAAAAAATAACAAATCTGATGTGTCAAATGGCACTATTCAAATACCATTTGACATGCTATTCAATTTATTACATAACTTCATGAACATAAATGTCCACAAAGTCATGGTATTCAAATAGTGCCATTTGATACATTAAACTTTTTATTTTTTATCTGGGATAGTAAATATAATGAATTAGATTAGGTTTTTAAGCTAATGGGCTTAAAATAATCCATAAGCTAAAATTGATAGTGCGAACTTTTAGAAGTATGAACCTTAATTTACGATTATTAAAGTGTAGTAATCTTATTTAATATTTTAGGTTAAAATCATCACAAACATGAGGATGACTTGACAATTGTGATTATGGAATAACTAAGAACCCAAAAGGTAGTAATAATTATATGATAATCATAGAGTATGTAAAGCAGAGAAGTCTGAAAATTGTTAGATAGTAAATATGATGAATTAGATTAGACTGTTAAAATAGCTAACCTATATTATATAGCTAATAGTAAGGTACAAATTTTTAGAAGTACAAATCTTTATTTATGATTATTAAAGCACAGTAATCTTATTATTCTATTAATATTTTAGGTTGAAAATCAACACAAACATGAGAGTAACTCAACAATTGTGCTTTATAGAATAACTAAAAACTCAAAAGGTAGTAATTACATGATGGTCATAGAGTATGCGAAGTAGAAAAGTTTCTGAAAATTGTTAGATAGTAAATATGATGAATTAGATTGGCCTCTAAAATAGCTAATCTATATTATATAGCTAATAGTAAGATATGAATTTTTAGAAGTACATATGAATCTTTATTTATAATTATTAAAGTGTAGTAATCTTATTATTCTATTAATATTTTAGAGTAAAAATCAACACAAACATGGAGAAAACTCGATAATTGCAATTTATAGAATAACTAAAAACTAGAAAAATAGCAATTACATAATGAACATAGAGTATGTAAAGCAGGAAAGTCTCTGAAATTGTTAGGTATACAAATAAAAAAATAACAAATCTGATGTGTCAAATAGCACTATTCAAATACCATTCGATATGCCATTCAATTTATCACATGACTTCATGGACATGAATATCTACAAAGTCATGTGATAAGTTGAATAGTGCTATTTGACATATTAAACTTTTTGTTTTTTTACCTGTGATAGTAAATATGATGGATCGGATTGGGTTTTTAAGCTAATAGGCTTAAAATAATTCATAGCTAAAATTTATAGTGTGAATTTTTAAAAGTACAAATCCTAATTTGTAATTATTAAAGTGTAATAATCTTATTTATTTAATATTTTAAGTTGAAAATAAATACAAACATAAGAGCAGCTTAACAATTGTGATTTATAGAATAACTAAGAACCCAAAATGTGGTAATAATTATATAATAATCATAGAGTATATAAAGCAGAGAAGTCTGAAAATTGTTAGATAGTAAATATAATGAATTAGTTTAGGTTTCTAAATAGCTAATCTATTATATAGCTGACAGTAAAGTACGAATTTTAGAAATACATACAAATTTTAATTTATGATTATTAGTATAGACTTAACCAAATCTGCCAAAAAATCATTTGGCTAATTTTATCAGATGTATCAGAAATTAAGATAATAGCTAGCTAACTGTGCCACCAATCTGGTATATATTCAAGGGTGCTAAGCTACCACAAAATCTATATAGATTCATTAGTTAAAAGAGTACAAGTGCAAATCTTACTTATATCATTAGTGATTTTATTATAGTTCTCAATTAGGCAGTTCAATAATTTCTTTTTACTTATCTGGCTTTATTTTTTCTCTCACGCTACTTGATTGAATTCTTGATTAAGATTAACAGTTTTAGGCTTGACCAGATTGAACAATTTGTCAACATGAAAAAACTCTTAAATAACTTACTATATCATTATGATTTGAAAAATTTTTTTAAAAAAAATTTTATTGATTTTTGACTTTGTTACGTATATTTATCATTGTTATCTGATAAGCCTGTTAATTTTTTTTAAATCGCATAATTTTTTTTTTATACAAGTTGTATTAGTTATTATATATAATAGATTTAAAAGTAATAATTATAGTGTGTTGCAAAATAAAAATAGTAGCGTATAGTCTTAGAACTAAAAAAATAATAGCTTAATAGTTTTAGCTTGAGTAGAACTTGTTATTCCTTTATTAAGTTAGTAATTACTATAAATAGAAAGTTATTTAAATAATACATATTATCTAATTTTGATTGTACGAAGTTAGCATTAATAGTTTATAAAACAATAATCTTTCGATTTGCTAACTTTATATATAAGTAGATAAAAATTTCTATTATTATTATTATTTTATCACTATTAATACATATTAATATGCCAACTAAAGAACATTATCTTGCAAAATATTTTGACAAAACAAATGAAAAAGCAAATAAATCAAATATTTTTTCAATTTGCAAATTTTGTATTGAAGGGCTTGGTTATGAAAATGCGAAAACAAAGTCAAAAATTACTCATAAAGCTCGTGATTGTAAAAATCATCTCAAATTATGTCAATTTTTTCTTAATAAATTTTCATACGATGAACAGCAAGAAATTTTGAATCCACAAGATGAAACAACTGAAACAAAAAAAAGAAAATATAATTTACCTGATAACAAAAATTTAGATAATTTTATAAAGCCTAACTTTCAAGGACAACATTTAGAACAGTATGAAAGTTTATTAATTCGTGCAACAGTCTCCTGTGGGTGGTCTTTTCGATGGATTTAAGATCCAGAAGTTAGAAAGCTTATACAATTTTTAAATCCTTATGCTCCATTACCTAGCCGTTTAGAACTTTCAAACCGTATATTAAATTATGAAACTGAAGAAACTTTAAAGAATGTTGTTCAATCTGCGACTAAAAATAATCTTGGTGTTACTTTGTCATATGATGGTTGGAAAAATGTAGCTTCACAAAATATTATTGGAAGTACATTAATTACATCAGAAGGATTATCTTGAATGTTGAAGATTTAAGTAATAAGCGCAAAAATTGGCAAACTGTAGTATTAATGACAAAAAATTTATTTGATTCAATTGAAGCTCATGGTATTTTAATAAATGGACTAGTTACAGATTCTGCTCCCGAATATATGGCTGCAAGGTAATATTTAAAACATCGTTATAGTTTAATTTAACCATATTAAATTTAATAATTTATAATAAATAATTTTTTAGAAAAAGACTTTGAAAAGAATTTCAAAATAAAATTTTTTTACCTTGTTTTAGCCACCAAATGAATTTATGTGTTGGTGATCTTTTTAAAAAAGATAGTAATTTAAAAATTACAGCTGAAGAAGCAATAGAGATTGTTACATATTTTCATAAATCTGATTTTTTTTATAGCTGATTAAAAGATGAACAGTCAGCTATATATAAAGGAAAATATATTACCTTAATTACTCCTAATGATACACGTTGAAATAGTCATTTTTATTGCTTCTCAAGTATTTTAAAATCTAAAGCTGCTTTAAAGGTAATTTATTTGTTAGTTTATTTATATTATTTAAATTACTAATTTATTTTATATTTAGAATTTAATGACAAAAATTGAAGAAGGTGATGATAGTTCTCTTTACGGCTTTTCTAATAACATTCAAGAAAATCTTTCAAATCCTAATTGGTGGAAAAAGTTACAAGATTTGCATAAATTAGTAGAACCTTATTGTGCAGCTTTAAATAAATTGCAAACTGATGGTGCACGACTACATGAAGTTCTTCATGCTTTTGGATGGATTATAAAGTTTTTAAAATCAAATTCTACTTTACAAAATTACTATATTCAAAAAATAGAAAAGCGATGGGCTGAGTGGGAACAACCCCTCTTACTTTTATCATTTTTGCTTCATCCTAAGTATAAATTTTCAAAGTTTAATTTTACACTTTCAAATCTTTCATATGCGCATTTAGGCAGATAGGTTTGTTATTATTATACACATTGGGTTGGTAAAAAACCTTTAGTAATTCTTTTAGATTAGAACAGTATCGTACAGAAAGAAATCCTTTTAATCAAGAAACATATAACCATTTCGATGATTCTTTAAAATTTTGGAGTTATATTGCAGGTTATACAAAAGAATTACATTTTGTAGCTTTAAAAATTTTTTCTATTTCTGTTACTAGTGCTTCAGTAGAACGTTTATTTTCTACAATGGGTTGGATTCATACCTCTCGTCGAAACCGATTAAAAGTAAATAAACTTTATATTTGATATAGTATTTAATTTTAAATTATTCTAAATAATTTAACTTTTACTTTATAGTTTGACAAAATTTTACAAATATGCCAATTAAGAGACAAATTACGACGTGAACGCTTAAATGAAGCTTTGGCCAAACAAGAAAAAAAAATTCGAGAAACAAATGTTGCAACACAAGCTCAATATACAAATTTAGAAAGTGAAGAGTATTCCGATAATGATAATGAGCCTTTTAATTTATCAAGTGATGATGATCTTTATATTGAAGAAAATAGTCATGAATTGAATGAACCAAATGAATCAGATTCTGATACTAAATCTGATGAATTTAAAAATCATATTGGAGATATTCAAAATATTAATAATTGGCGCTATTTAGTATCTCAGTGGATAGAATTAGTAGAAAATGAAGAAAACAATGAATTAGAGGAAATTAATGATAATGCCGATTTAGTAGATGATACTGATACTATTTTAAGTTCTTACAATGAAGAAGCTAAATGGAAATTGTCAAATTTTATTTGATGATTCGCTTGAACAGCCTTCCTATTTAAGCTTATCAATTGAATAAATATATTACATTTTTTTGACTTTATTTTGAAAATTTTTAACTATATTCTAGATCATAGTTTTATTTTTGTTTATAAAATGTTTCAAATAAATAAAATGCTATATCCTAATATTATAAAATGGTTGTTTGTATTAAATTAGCGATTAATATCTCATCCTTTTCAATTCCTATTCCATAGTGATAGCAATATCCAAGGTTATAAATTGCCGATATATTTCCCATCTCGGCAGATTTTTGATAATGAATGAATGCCTTATGTTCATGCTTTTCAATCCCTATTCCATTTTCATAACAATATCTAAGGTTATAAATTGCATAAACATTCTCCATCTCGGCAGATTTTTATAATGAATTAATGCCATCTATGTGGATTATAGTTGTTAGACGAAACCTTTTTTGCTTGGTGACGAAAGCCGAACCCTAAGCCCCAAAATGACAAAACCTCTGACGAAAGGCTAACCCTCAAATTCTGCTGATGAAAGATGAAACCCAAATCCAAAATGACGAAACCTTAGTGCTAAAAAAAATTCCCCGTTAAAAAAAAAAAAAAAAAACTGAATTGATGAAATAGTGAATCCCTACTTCTCTCGCTAAAAAATTACTAGTGAAATTTTGGTTTAGATGAAGCTATCAATAAAAATAATAAAATTATCTCTATAATTTAGATATTTAACCCGTCGAATGAGGCTTTTTTATTTATATTTATTACTAAAGATGTTTATTGACTTGTACGTATATTTAGTTTTAAAAAGCCAATTACAGAAATTGTAAATAGCAAATAAGCTATTAGCATCTATAATGCCGAAGATGTTTATTGGCTTGACCCGGCTTGTGTATTTAGGTTTTGAAAAGACAATTACAGAAATTTTATAATCGAAGATCTGAAAACAATGTATGTACCTCTTATTAATTTTATTATCTGTGCTAATTTATTAATAAAAAGTCTAAAAAGTCTTTTATTGATTTAGCCAATAGGCATAATAATTTTTTAATTGATATCGATATACAGAAATATGTGGAATAATCTTAATTGTGCTAATTTACTTAATTGATCAATTACTTCTTAAGTTACTTATTAAAATTGATACAATTGTATGTTTTAAATTTTAGTCTTATATAAACATAAATGTAGGAGCCAGTGGCGCCCTTACTTACACTTGCTTCCGTTTCTCATCTTTTATTAGTTTCGTACCCTTTGCAGTTTCATCAGTTTCGTCAGTTTCGTCACCTTTCGTCAGTTTTGTCACCTTTCACCAGTTTCGTCACCTTTCGTCATTTCGTCATTTGAGATTTTAGTTGACGAAAGACGAAACTAAGTTTCGCATTTCGTCAGCGCGAAACCTCAAGGTTTCGTCTAACAACTATAGTGCACATGGTAAGATTTTATTAATAATTTTAGTGCACTGTGGTTAAAAAGCTTGCGAATTACGTGCACATTTCTAGTTAAAAATATGTGAAGTTTTTAAAAAATGTGCTCATGAGCACACTGTGCACGGCATATTTGTTATTATTAATAAGAACCGGTTTGCTAAGGTATAAATATAAATTGAATACTACAGTAAAAAGGTTTATCAATGCGTCTAGATGGCGCATTAATCAGTTTAACTAGATTTGAATTAGTAAGCATTGAATGAAATTCGATGTATATATTGATGTTATTTTAATTCAATGAAAATTTGTGTTCGAGATTTTGATGAGTATAGTAAGGAAATTGTTGTTCAGACTGATTTTATTGATAATAATTTGAATCCAATTTGGAATGAAATTCATTACTTTCCGGGTAAGAAATCGGTGATAAATTCCTTTTGAATGTGATGGATTATAGCATGAAAGATGAATAACTTGGAAATTGTCATTTTGAGGTCACTGCAGATTTAATCAAAGAAAGCACACAAAACGGCATCGACATATGAGTGAAAAGCTTTTTAAAAAATAAAATAAAACCAATACATATTAATATACTGTATATTTTTTAGTTGGGCGAACCTTTGAGTCGAGGGTCAGATTCATTATAGAGCAAATTTTTTCTCTTGAATCTCTCCATAACCAACCCCTGATTTTCTTAAGACTCTTAAGGAAAAGCCTTCCATCTTCAAATAGATTAGCAAATTTATTTGGTTATGAATCGCCAGAGAAACTACTCGATTTATGCAAATCTCACTGCCATGAAGATCGTGTCTTGGAAGTTAATCAAGTTGTATGGACCACCAGTATGATTATGTGGTTCTTGCGGTCTAGTTTGAAAGATGGTTACGTGTTTCACAATACATCAGAAATGAAATTCATAATGACCTAGAAGCAGAAAATATCATACTTTCTATTGGTGAGAAAGTCGATATTTAACATTAGCATTAGCAAATTTTTTCTGGATAAATATACATATTCACAATGATGAAGTATATATAGCTAGGTGCTGCAAAAAGGGAGGGACCAAATTGACAATTTTTTCAAAAGATATTTTTTTACATAAATCAATTTAGAATAAGATTGGGATCTTTTTTTTACCTAAGACACAAAAGTAGTTGTATTAATAAAATTTTGCAGTATTGCTCTTTAAAGTTTGAATTTTCTTATGATTTATTATAAGATTTATAACATAAAAATTGATTTTCCGATGATCTTTTGTTTTGTCATTTGGTCCCTTTTTGCAGCACTTAGCCCATATGCATTTGAATTTTTACAGAAAAAAAGCTTTATTGATAAAAATAACTGTTTAAATAAGATTGTAACATCACGTCTTTAAAATTTGTAAAAATTTTGTGATAGTTTCATGATTACTCAGTTTCTTTATCTTTTTTAACTAGCTCCAAAAGCTTTTTGAGAATATCATTATCTAATTTTAAATTTGCTTCTTCTTGTTCAGATTCTTCAGATTTTATATTTAATCCAGTCAGTTCTAGGAGTAAATTACTAATAACTGGTTTTTTATCTTCTGTTAAATCTTTATCGTTCTTAACTTCTATAATTTTTCTATGAACTTTATCTCTATGTGCTGTATAACAGCTATAATAAGCAAAATAAGTACTAATTAGAGTTATATACAACTAGTGATTGGCGCCGTAATCATGTGATGCTAATTGTCACACGATACAATATATAAAAATCAACAATTAGATTGTTGATTTTACCACGTGACAATTAGCATCACATGATTACGGCGCCAATCACTATATACAACTATAATTAAAATCAAAATTTTAAATTAAAAATTTACACATATTCTGGAAACCAATGCTGCCACCTTCGTTGTTTTGGAAAAAGCCAGAATAATTCAATTACTGCCACTATCTATAATAAAAAACAAAATTAATGAATTTTTATGAAATGATTAAAAATAAAACTTCAGGTTACCTCAGCCTTTTGTATAAGATATTCAGCCCTATTATTATACTCTTCAATAGCATTACTTAACAATCCAATAAATAGATTTAACAAGTAAATAACAGTAAAAAAAGAAAATGTGACCATCAATAACACTAGTACACGATTTGTATGATAATCCCAAGTAGAAAGTGAGCTATTATCACCTAGATACAAATAATTAAAAATAATGATTATAATTTTTGATCATTATTAATACAAAGATGTTTAAACTACTCACCAGTCATTAATAAAAAAACAGCCAAAAGTGAAGTATCAAAACTTGCATATAAATCAGTATTAACATCAGTTGAACTCATGTTTTTACTGTCTTCCTGAAGTAATATATAGAGTGCATGAGTAAATGCAAGTATAATTATTCCTAAAACTATTAAATATGAAAACACAGTCTGAGCTACGCCAACAATGATAGCAAAATAAACACCAAAGTATTCAAAAGCTCTTAAATAGAATAAGAATTTTATATCAAGAAACAAGCATGCTAATGAAGGTGCCCATAGCGGTGGAGAGCCATTTATTAGCCAATAGATAGAAATGGCGACAGGAAAAGTTAAGGATCCAAAATCTAATAAGTACAATAACAGTATTAAAAATCATTGTCACAAAATTGAATAACTCAAATTTAGTCATACCAAAACAATTCCATAAATTAAATACATATCGCTTCCAATTAAATATGAGCTGACGCAATTCAATATATATAAGTAAAAACAATCCAAGAATAATTGATGTCCACAAAAGAAGTTCTTGAACACCTTCTGAGATAGATCCAGTTTCCGTAACAGCAAAAGAGAATGTCGTAAGGAAAAGTGTAAAAATGGTCCAATCAAGATAATAATAATATTTTCCAAACATATTCCATTTAAAATTAAGCAAAGCTTCGCCACTCCAGCTAGAATATAATTCTGCAGTTTGTATTTCTACAAATCCATTTGATTTAGATCTTCCAAATATTTCTTTCCAAAATGAAAAATCTGTATCATATGATGAAAAGCCTGCTAACGGTACAACAAAGTGAATAGCGGGTACAGTGAATTGTTTATCAACTAATTCTTTTTCTAACAATTTACGATAGAAATTTTCAGAGAAAGATTTTAATTGTGAAATAAAGTTAGAAATGAATAAATAAATACGGGAAGGTGGACTAAGTTTAAACATATAAGGCTCTGCTGCATGTGGGTGAAGATGAGGATCAGATGTATAAACTATAGGTTCATTAAGAACATGACTAGGACTTAATAATAAGGAGGTCTGTGATATAAATCTATTAAAATAGTCAGGATAAGTCTCATGAACTTTAATTGAAAGGGATGAGATTATTTTGAGAACATTAATTTCAGCTGGATCATTCTTGATTAATTTCATACATTTGTCAAAAACCTGATCAACAAGATCGATTCTTTGCTCTGAAATTGCTGCTTCTAATAGATTTTGGGCATATAACGCAAAAAATGAAGTATCATTGATATGATCTTTAATTAGATTGCTCAATGTATTATTTGGTTCAAAAAATCCAAAATCAAAATTTTTAAGAATAAATTTAAAATAATCTACAGAAAATAGTTTTTCAGATACTATTTTACACTTCAAGAGATCGTTATCTATCTCACTATCCTTCTTACGCTTCTCTAAGAGATCTTTACACACCTTAAAGAGATCTTTATACATCTTCAGGAGATCTTTATCCATTTCACTATCCATCTTACACTTCTCCAAAAGATCATTACACACTTTCAAGAGGTTTTTCAAATAATTTGTATCGAAAAAATATTTCATCCGGATACTTTTGTCATCATCAAAAGCCACAATAATTGTAAATTCTTTTATCGATGAATGGTACCACTTTGTTATTACCATTAATTCGTCATTAGTCAATAATTTAAATGTAAGAATATTCAAAGATTTAAGTGAATTTTTTTCAACGTATATATCCGTCACGTTTAATTTAGCAAGATTTATGTTGCCTTTCCTTGCAGATAATTCCATTTTTCCATCAGAATTTTCATTAAATTCCCAATTAACTAGATTCATATGCTTACCCTTTATTTGACCTTTTAGTTCTATATCAACTTTCAATGTACTACTAATTTCACTTTTTGCATCTTTCATTTTATCTAATATTTCTTTCATAATGCTGAGGAAGCGGATATTGTTCTTATCATCAATTTCTTCTCGCAGATAATTTTGATAATGTTCCTGAAATAAATTATGTATCAGAACTTTACGATTGACAATTCCTATAACCTTGTTTTCAAATATCCTTTTAGGAATAAATCCAACATATTTCGAATTAAGTTCATCGTATAAGTCCAATTTAATAGTTGCATTCTTTTCAGAATATGGATCGATTAGATAATTTTGCATTTTTGAATTCGTAAAGTGAGAGATTAATAAGCGTTCACCCAAATTCATAAAACTAATTTGAAAATATTCATTATTTTGATTCTTATAATTCATTTCTATTTCACCTATAAATACAAAGTATAGACATGATACAATTATATATAAACTCGAATTATTTTAAAAAAATCTTTTTAAGAAATCTGCTTACGTGACAAGATTTTAATGCCAGTTTTTGCAGAGTAAATTTTCAGCGTTAAGTCACGATTGTGCCATACTGCTTGTAAATTTTCATATTTATTGAATACGAAATCATTTGCAATGGGATATTGTATTTCGAATTTTTCAGAGTCTATATCCCATTGAGATTTGAAAAATCCATCTCCAATCAGTAATTTCCCGTCTCTAGATAAGGTACATTGATTAAGTTCTATATTGAAACCAAATCTATTTTTACATTGCAAACATGTTCTTGGATCCTTAGTTATAACAGAATATAAATATAATTTGGATTCACTGATGAACGCAAAATAACCATTTTTTAAAAAAGAAACATATATTTCAGATGTTTGTAACACCTGTTCATTTAAATGTGGAATCTCAACATGTTGCTCTTTATTAGTATCATACATGACTATATTATTATGAGCGAAATAAAAAGAATTCAAATTAATGTTTATATTAGAGTAATAAATATTGATACAGTCACACCTCCCTAAGTGCATCCCGTCGGGACCATAGTGAAAAAAATTAAAATTTTGCACTTAGAGGGTGTTTGCATTTATAGAGAGTAAAATATATAGGACTCTTATAAGTTGGGGCCCAACATGATTGTGCATTTAGAGAGGTTTTACATAGTACTTGCACTTAGGGGGCGTGCACTTAGGGGGGTGCGACTGTAATAAATAATGATAATGAATATTTAACTTACTACAAGAAGTTTCACTTATTAAGACTATTAATGCATCATCAGACAACTCTTCCAATTTATAAACATTTTTGCTATCTTCATTTGTATCAAGTTCTGTAACCTTGAAACTTTTATCTGCATTTAAATATGATTCATTACCTAAAACCGGCCATATAAGAATGCTTTCATCCTTTTCGTTTAATGTTGCAATATATTTGAGATTAGGTGAACAAATTAACTTTATATCATGTGGAAAATTTTGCCTTTTAGGTTCATGACCTCCAAATTCATCTACTTTGATTTCCACATGATCGCCTTGCTCTCTAGTTGACATTACTGTGTTATTCTTTAATGTTAAAATTACAAACCAAGAGGCAGAAGAAATGTGAATTGATGTCTAAATATTTAAACCATCAGCAATAAATACTCCGTAATTGTTTATGAGGCAACAATTTGCGAGCACAGCCTTACAAATCAATAAATATCCTCATGATCTAAAAACTTTCTCAAGCCTCTCCGTAATAACACTTTGAAATATTTTTTATTAAATGTGAGTTTCTCATCATTATTAATGTTATTAAAGATCATTGAAAGTGTTATCTGAGAAGATCGTATCCCTTGCACCTATAGTTGTTAAACAGGTTTCACGCCGACAACTTAGTTTCATCTTTCTTTGATTAAAGCCTTAAATGACAAAATTGAAAAAAAAAAAGCAATTATAAATCAATGTGCTTAATTAAATTTTTGGGAGATTGAATTCAATAAGTTTAAAACTTAAAAGCTAAAGGCCGATTTACTTTTGACAACACATGAGTGTCGACTAGTGATAGGAATCGGCTAAATTATAATCGGCTAAGTCGACTAAAAGGGGTATATAGTAAATTAGTGCAGTATGAGTTAGAACTAGCGCTAGGGATGTTATCCTGCTTAAATCTGCTAGTTTGTGCTTGAACACTGCTTTGAATAGGGATGGTAAAAAATCGATTTTTAATGATTTTTTTGATTTTTAACTTGATGTTTTAAATCATCGGTGATTATAGTACTGATGGCTGCAGCTAGAATTACTGCATCAGATTAGTTAGTTTAACTGTAATAATATACGTATTAGTATAACGTCATGATTAATAATACTAATATGGTTACATGATTAATCATACAATATCAATGACGATGATTTAAATCATAAAAAAAATCATTTTAGAACAATATTTTACTGATTTAAAACATTGTGATTTAAATCATTTGCCATCCCTAGTTTTGAACCATGTACATAAACTGGGTTTCAAACTCTGCTTTAAACTATTTATACATGTACTATTAATTACGACCCGTTATTTATTTATTTATTTATTAGAACATATAAATATATATAGTATACATTTTACTTAGCACTAATTTTAACTATATATTTGCATATTATATTAAAATTGATATGGAAGTAAATTTATTTTGTACTGTGTATGTTGAGATAGCGTTGACATTGATGTAGAGGTAAGATCATTCATATTATTAAAATTTTCAATTGCGTTTTCTTCAACCATCGTATAAAGATAAAAAAATTAAAATTAAAAATAACGTATTTATAGCAATTGAAATGCTTCTACAAAGAAATAAAAATCGCGTAATACTTATTATACGTAATACATATCGTTAGAAATTAGCTTTTAATTTAAAATCAATAATACAAAAATCACGTCATTACATCATGGAAATTAACTTTAAATTTAAAAAAAAAAGTTATTTATAAATCATGAAACATTTTGCTTGAGTAACCGATTCCGAAAACGATTTGAGCACTATGAACAGTATTGAGTTTAAAATTTCTAATTAAAATCACATGTTCATAAAACTCGAGTTTAACAGGTTTGGGTTTCAAATAAGCTCGAAATGAGTTTGGACAAGCACAGGTGCAAAACATTCATTTTTGATACACCTGCACCTACTTTTTTGATACTGATCGACATGCAGATCCCGGTAAAAAATAAAAATTTTAAAACCTTTGAGCGAAGATATAACGCCAACTACCTGCTTGAATCTGATAAAACCTTTTAGATTTGAATTCTATGGATTCATAGAATTCAAATAAAAAAAAAATTCATCAAATTTAGCCATATGGTTGTTGAGATATTTTCTCTCAAAATTAGAGAAAAATCAAAACGCCCATCAAAATAGAAGCTGCGCCAAATTACTCTCTAACTTTGAGCGAAGATACCTTGATAACTATCTGACCAAATTCGATAAATCTTTTTTTATCTGAATCCTATGGATTCATAGAATACAAATAAAAAAAATTTGATCGAATTTAGTCAAGTGGCTATCGAGGTAGCTTCGTTCAAAATTAGAGAAAAATAAAACGCCTATCAAAATAGAAATTTTCTCTC